ATTTCCTATGTCTCTTTAGTAATGCATAATTTTGGTAATGCTTGCATTATCATGATGGATCTATCATCCATGGCTGCCTCTTCCTTCCCTTTCGCCAGAACAAGAAAAGGAAAAACAATTCAGGATGTAATTGAATTCTTTTTTGCTCTTTTTAGTTCCAAAAAAGTGCATTTTGTATGTGCTCATGATAACAAAGGCAAATAGCTTGCAACATATCTATGAGGACATGAGGAAATCTCTCAGTATCCGCTGACATGAAAGCCAAGATCAGTGTAATGACTGGCCTGCCTGAATTCTTAGGGCGCACAAAAGTTGCTGATGCACCTTATATAATTACCTTATCATTAGAGTAAAGCAGAGAACACTGGAACTAATTCTTGGTTCTGTAGTAGCATAAGGGTTGTTTCTTTGGTCTGATATTTGGTAGCATTATTGTAGGGCTCTATGTTGCTTCTGTAGCTTCTTCAACTTCCACACTTATCTGATTGTGGGGCTATATAAATTACTACCGTGAACGTATCCACCATATTACAATATTAATGTTAAGGCTATTAAAGTCTTGAAAACAACTTGCAGAAAATGATTCTTTTCGCTCAAAGTTAGAAGCAACCTTCAATTCCAAAACCTTATAAAATTTTATGGGAGGAGACAAGCAGCAGCTGCGTAATTAATTCAATCATTGACTACCAAAGACTGACTCTTTAGTTATTTATGGAGAAAACATATATATATATATATAAAGCTCTCCAAAATTGTCTGACCTCTGTAGATTTTATCAACGTCTTTATTCGCAACTTGTTGTGAAAGCGAAGGAGAGAAAAAAGAGAATGGTTTGATTAGTAGACAAGAACAAAATGACCAAGAAACGCTTTTGAGGAGAATTATTAACTGAGTAAATTAAATATACTAAGATAACTTCTTAATTTGCTGTGATCTTGCCGACTGATTAATAAACTAAGACCGGGCAAAGGTTGATGCAACATCACGTACATATATATGACATGACACTCTCGTTAAGATGTTAGGTTCAATAATTAAATTCTGATCAAGGTAACTAAAAGCTGATTGAAATATGTTTAATTGGAGTACTTGTTTTGTATGTATATTCTTTACGATGTCAGCAAAATAAAACTGTTCCAAAGTGCATGATTCTTCGTTCCTCCTGATGCATTCATGGGCATATTCACACACACAGTGGGACAATACATATTCCACAACCAACAACAAGCAGACCAATTTCAAAATTCACATGCACTCATTTCTCTTTCGCTTAAATGATTGAGGAGTACTGCTTTGTTTACATATTATGGACGACTGAATTATTTGCTACTACTATACCATTTGGATAATCTGGAGAGCCATAAACTGTGCACCCCCGCCACCACCCCCCCCCACCCACAAAAAAAAAAAAAGAAAAGAAAAGTAAGCTGACATATCTGCAATATGAAACATTAGATTGTTTTGACAATATGCTTGCCTCGACTTGCAAGTAAAGAAGAAAGAAATAACCGCGTGTCTGTACAGAAATGTAAGAAGAAGACTTGGATGTGCATAAGGAATTGAATTTCTGAGGATTACAAATTGTCAACTAGCAGTAACTACGTCAAAGATAGATCAGGTATTTGATAGACTTGGAAGTGACTCAGTTATCCTCATTCGTGACGATCATATCCATATTCAAAATGGAGGGTATTTCTTTCAATTTGTCGTTTGTTTTTAGTAATATTTTTATGCTCCATCTTGTTAAGTATTCGGAAGTGGGGTCGATGATTAGGTTTGCTGTACTGTTGCCTATCATTTATTTGATCCTTTTTCTTTACGTTGTAATATTATAGTCACAACCACATCTTACAAATTGTTTCCAATTGGCAAGGATCCAAACTGGACGCATAACGGAATACTTCTGGTAGCCTTAATTAATTGAGACATTAAGTAATCACCTAATATTAGCCAATGTGGTGTCTCTTTTTGTTGCCAAAAGGTTTCATTCGCCTCCATGCATCTTAGAAGCAACTAGTGTACTTCCCATACCCATTTATGTTCATACATGGCTATAGATAAACGAGAGTCCATATACTCGTTTCTTCAAGGAAAATTGAGAAACCATAGTTTTTTTTTTTTTTTTTTCTCTCAAACTTCAACTGCAATATATTTGAGAAACCATAGTTATTTAACTTGAAAAAATGTTAACTAGTCTAGCTTCATCGAGTAGTAGTTATATTCCCAAGTCCATCTTGGCAAAAGGAGCAAAAGAAAAAGAAGAGAATTAGCGTTTAAGCGGAGGAGTAAACGGAAGAATACCCAGTCCTGCATACTGCTACATGCACAATAGTTGGTTAAATTAATTTTGGTATATATGGTGCAATTACCAGTGTGAAAGGTCAATAGAGACAGAAATCAGCTCACTTCAGACCAATCAAGGATTGCCGAATGTAAAACAAGTTATCTACACTGAGATCCTTTCAAAAAGAAAAAAGAAAAAGAAAAAAAAAGTGAGGCAAATAGTTACAGAACAGCAACATTCATTTAATCTGCGCTACGAAGCTTAATCATTCCAGAGAAAACAATAATGGTGTAATAATTATAACAATAAGCGTGCTTCACTTAGTCCAATCTAGGGTTGCAAACGAATCGAACCGCTCGCGAGCGGCTTGAATCGAAATCGAGCTCGAATTCGAGCTCAAAATATTAAACTCGTTAGCTTGTGAGCCGACTCGCGAGCTCGAGTATATATATATATATATATATATATATATATATATATATATATATATATATATATATATAATATTTTTATTTTTTTATTTTAAGTATATATATATTTTTTATTTTCTTATTTTAATTGTAAAATTACATAAATATTCTTAATATTTTATTATTTATTAAGAAAAAAATATTATTTTATTTATTTTTTTAAAAAATAAAATGATTATTTTTTATTTTTGTCGAGCTCGAGCTCGAACTTTAAATTGTTGGCTCGTCGAGCTCGAGCTTGATAAAATTTAGTCGAGACTCGATTCGATTAGCCCAAAACTCGATTCGACTCGGTTCGTTTGCAAGCCTAGTCCAATAATGCTGGAAAAAGAAAGAAAGAGAAAAACTCATTTCGTTTTACTTTACGTGTGTAGGCCATAGAAGAAAATCCAAAAAATAATAAGCCAAACTAGAAGACATTGTTAGAATTGCCTGAAATGTCTTCTAGTTTGGCTTATTATTTACTATCATCCCGGTGGCAGGATTCAGGTGAACACTGAAAAGCGAAAAGCCGTCAGCATAAACGGAGTAATATCTTGAACTTGAATCATGCAATTAATTGCAAAACCAGGGGTGATTGTAACTCTGGACGTAGCAGTATAAATCAAACTTTAGGTGCACATGATCCCAATTTATTAATCAACGTTTAGAAGGATTCAAATTCAAGAACTCGATTCAGAGGTAAAATACAAGATTTGTATGAATCAGATGTTTTTTTGAAGTATGGATTTTGAAAGCTTTCCACGCAGTATATGACTACTACTACGTAAACAATTTAGCTGTACATTGTGGCAAAGACATGCTTTGCAACTTGATGAAATTCATTGCATCCAAAATAACCATTCATCACAACGATTTCGGGGACTAGTAGGTCTGATTTCTAATTTTTACAATTCATTTGATCTAATCTAACGTGAAAAGTAAATCCCCTCTTTCCCCTTCCGTTTCTATCTTGGGCCGGTATCTCGTGGGGCGTTTTGGGGCTACCCTAGGTCGCTGCTGCAAATACATCCTTGATACAGTACTTCTTCTCCTCCTTCCTGTTTTTCTTCTTCTTCTTTTAGGCATGAGTGCGTGGGAGGAAGGGCTAAGATGGTTGTGACCAACCCGTTGCAGTTGGAAACACTTATTCAGAAATCTAGTATTCCATCAAAAGTACGGAAAATAAAATAATTTGTCGATGATTTACCAATATAAGCATTTATGAAATGTTTGAACCTCTCTATGATTTTTTCCAATTTTGTAGCACGGGCTACGCTATTGCTTTTCTGAACTGCTATGTTGAAGTGATCTTGGTGTGTAATCCTCATTCTCTAGATTGATTGAGTATTCCAAGTGACATCAAGCACGTTGTTAAAAAAAAAGTAATAATAAAAAAGAAAGTATTCTATCCTATATATTCTATTTTCTCTTTGCAGAAGATTGGCCTAACAAATTTGTCTACTAATCTATGAAACAAGTTTTCCTAAACTTGTGGGCTCCTTCTAAATTTAAATTAAGAAAATTGTTCCCTCATATATCGCTAAATAAAATTTTTTGTCATTTACTTTTAAAATAGAAACTTTACATCTCTTACAAAATTAAATCAATAAAATTTAATTCTAATCTAGATTTTTAACCACTTTTTACCATGAATTCATTACATGAGCCACATGTGGTTATATTCTTAGAGGTGGCAAAATGGGTGATTTGGGCGGGTTTGGGTTGGGTAAAATGGGTAATGGGTATAAGTGAGTCAACTCATTTATATCCATTTAATTAGATGGGTATAAATGGGTTAGTCAAAAAATGAGTTGGGTAACTCAATTATCCATTTATAATCCATTTATTCTAATTTTTTACAAACTCATATTAATTCATTTTGCAAACTAAATTATCAATTTATACCATTTTACACCCATCATTAATTTTAAATATTTACTTATTATGCCAAATAAGTCTAATTATCAATTTTTTTCATCCTCGTGCTATGTCGCAAAATTACATATTATTTAATAATTGAACAATGAGAATCTAAAAATTTGGACTAAATAATATGAAAGTTAACATAAAAATTTAATCCAAAACTTTGAACCCCTAGAATTTTTTCGTGTATAAATTTAAAATTTCATTTTGAAAAGGTAAGAAAGGAGACTAAAATTTGTCATAAATTAGTGATGCTAAAAATGATCAAATTAATAAATTATGAGGAAATAAAGCGATAAGACAAAATCAACAAATAAATATAATAAATAAAACAAAATTAGTTAACATAAAAAATAGTTAAAAATCCTGATAAGGATTAGCAATCACTTCATTTAGCATACAAACAAAGATAAATTTTCAATAAATAGAAATAACTGATAGAACAGTGAAAGGTTACATAGCCAAAACTTCTTGCCAACCTTCAGTACCAGAATAAACAATAGCTACTTGAATTCCCACAACTAGCTACTCTATCAAGATACTTAACAAGCACAAGCTTTGTACAACTACATAGCATAGCATAAAACTCCTCCAGCTCATTGTTGGAATCTGCTAACATGAAGGTTAGTAAGTTTAGCAACTAATGGTGCAAAGTCAATACTCAGTCTTTCTCTATCTTCTTCATCTTCAGAAGCTGAAATCAAAAGTAAAGTTCAATAAGTGACTAAAGAAGTAAAATACAAGATCATGTGCACAAAAAGGTTAAGTATAACATACTTGTTACTCCATATAACCAGTCCCTAGTACATAACAAGACCTCCACATTTTCTGGTAGGAGCGAAGTACGAAATTTACCCACAATTCTACCACCAATACTGAAAGCTGATTCCGAGGCCACTATAGTGATAGGAATACTTAAAATATCCCGTGCCATCAAAGAAAGAATAGGGTACCGATTTTTGTTTTCTTTCCAAAAATTGAGAACATCCAATTCTTGAGTTGAAAGGAGTCGAGTATCATCCAAATAAGAGTCTACTTGTGACTTATTCCTCTTGTTTGCATGTTGTTGACTCTCAAATTCAGCAAAATCATCATTGTCATTGCCCAAATCACCACCAGAGCAGCCTGCTATTGATCCATCTAGCAAATCACCATCAAAAGTATTCTCATACTCCTCGAATAGTAAATAAAATTTATCCCGAACTTCCTTAGCACGTTCTTCATAATCAAAAGAATACAGCTTCTTAAGGATGGTTATGCTTCTTGCTCCACTAGTCTATAAGGATGGTTATGCTTCACAGTAGCAATACCCATCTTTTCCCGATAAATTCCTTGGTCAATTGGAGACCGTTCTTCAAAATCAGATTGTCCACGCTTAGTACAATTTGAAAGATGACGCCATAAGTTGCTTGTTCCGGTTGTTCCACCACATGCATAATCACGCTTGCACTATTTACATTGTGCTCTTTGTGAACCATCTGGTTCAACATACAATATATCAAATTCCTTCCAAATCAATGACGTGAGCTGTCTCGAACGCTTTGAAGAACCTTGGATCAACTCATCTGTATTGGTAGGCTTATGGCTTGTATAAGAACATTGTTCCTGAATGTGCTCTGACAACTTATCTGTTGGATCATGAAGGGATAGCATTTCTGTTATCTATACTACCAACTTTGTACACCTCATCTGATGTTTTCCTCTCTAAGACTCTCAGCCTTACATATAACTTGTCCTGCCCTGCCCTCTCAGACTTAATTGTGCTGACTGCACTTGCCAGTTTCAATGACTTGATAGCCAAGCCCAAGTTTCAACAACTTCCAATTTTCAGCACTTTAATAAGTTCCTTGCCACTTTGGTTTTTTAGCTTTTTGACTCTTTCTAATGGGAGAACCTTACAACAGTGATGCTGCTGCATTCAGTGCATCAGTATCAGCATCCTGCCAAGGTTGCTAGAACTAATTTAAGCCTGATCATGCAAACAAAATCAGCATCTTTCCATTTTCCAGATAACTAGGCACAAATATAACCATGTCATAACAACAAAGGCTGAGTAATACACAAGACACAAGCCACAAAATTCCATTCCACATTGTAGCTCAAACTCTAGCACTACAACAATATCGAGAACCTAAAACATATCCAAGCCAAATATACCCTTTACAAGGATATGGGTAGATTATGACATATGCCACCGTTCACATAAACCAAATTACATAGAAAAAGAGGATTTCAGGTGTATATGATCCACCTTTTTATGTGTTATGTGTGGCTTAATTGACATGAAGCAAATTTATACCAGAAACTTTCCCCTAAACAATGCATCAAATTGAACCTAAAATACTACTGTCAATGATATTATATACGAGATATTATGCTTTTCTATCATGTTAATTTTCTATGCTTTTCTATCCCGTTTCCAACAACATTTTTATTAAAAATTAAAAAAAATTACATGCCCAATAACAAGATACATGTTATAGAAAAAATTTAAAGAATATGCTACTTAACAAGATTCCTGTTATAGAAAAAGAACATGGCTGGATCCTTAGACCTCAGTTTAGCGTCATGTAAATTTTGAAAAACTATGGCCAACCAATCTTGTCCTCGTCATTGCAGATTTTGTAGCCTTCAAGAAATTGTTACCAGTAGTGCTGAACAAATTTGTTACGAATAGACTAAAAAGAAATTACTAGGCACTGGAAGTTTTCCAAATTTGCAATTACTGGGAACAATAATAACAAACAGCTTCACAGATTGCAAAGAGACGAATGCATACAAGTAAAACTTTTCCAGTAGAGTTGTCATAGAACCAGCAAAATTAAGATCCTATTCAAATATTACTACAGCCAATAAGTATGCATCCCACCACAAATTTAAGCAGGAAAGCCTTACCTGTAGACTCCACAATGCTACAGATACCACCAACTGCATCCGAGGTGCAGGATCTGCAGCAAATGCTCTGTCTCTCTCCTCCCACGTCCAAATACTATGCCAACAATTCCATCCAAACAAAATTGAAGATTGATTCTAATTCTTGTACCTCAAGCTCCCAAAGCTTTTCAACTTTTCTCACAATATTTAGATTCCTGTAAACATTAAGCAAAGAAATGCAATGGTATCAAATGAAGGGAAAAAAACTAGAGCTAAAAAATATAAGTGGCGTTTCCAGGATCTAATGGCATTAGAAAAGTTATCCATCAATCAGCTCAGGAATTGGACATGGAAGGGCAAAAACCTTCTATTAAGCAGAGACAGGGAGAAGGGAGAGGGGAATCAAACACTGGAGGAAGAGGGGGGGGAAACAGTGGGCTTGCTGGTGGGAAGGAGAAGAAGATTGACGGTGAAAAACTGAGAATACAAAGAAGTTTGGGAATGTAAGTTAAATGGGTTACCCAATTATACCCATATATAAAAATTTAATGTACCCATATTCAGTTATTAATGGGCGGGTATGGGTAAAATTAATTAAATGATTTTATTTGACACCTCTAATTCTTAGGAACAAAAAGATTAAATCCTATTTATAGTTAAACAAATAACTTGATTCATATTTATTTTTATCCCTAAAAAAGTGTGATCTAAGCTGATACTTTTCATTTTTTCCCCTAAAAAAGTGAAGTCTAATATAATATATTCATTTTTTCACTAAAAAAGTGGGATCTGACATTTTTTTTACGTAAAAAATGAATGCATACAGGTCACGTGGTATTTTCAGCTAAAAAGTTGTTGAAAACTTAAATTGGTATCAAATTTTGTTAACTTAAATTTGTAAAGGAAATAAATTTAATATTTTAAAAGTGAAAGATGAAAAAAATCATCTAATCAAATGTAAATGAGATTTTGAACGATTTTTCTTTCAAATTAAAACATATGAACCAATTTAGGCTTGTAATTGGTTTAGTATTGGGCACCGACCATGACACTGTTCATAGCTTGCACATGTCCTTCTGATCTTTTGTTTGGGCCTCAAACATTGCTTCAGTTTTTTAAAAATTTCTTGTCTCAGCCTCACCATTAGTGGACAGACCAAGAGGGGTCGAACCCTACCGTGTCTTGAATTTTTCTTTTTGGATTGGCTTTTTACAGGATGCTTGTCATGGACAGGTTATACATTGATCGCACTGTTGAATCTCGAGGCCCCATCACAATTCACAGGTACTTCTACCCATTTTAGTCCCAACTCCCAAAGATGCAACCCAGAGCTCTAACTCTTGGCGGATAGCGTACCGAGGGAAGCCCAAACATTACAGTCCAACGTTCAAGAAGTTTTGTGGTAGTAGTCCATTTCTTCAACATGCTGTCTGTTTTGATTTGATATTATTTGAAGAATTTGGCAGAATAATACGTTATAAAACTTTTGTGAAGTGACACATATGAGGTGAAGTGAAAATTGGTTTTTTTTTTTTTTAAAAAAAAAAACTTATTGGGGGTACATGTTCATAACAAACGAGTTTTCCAAATAAATTGCTATCCAAACACACCCCAAGTTTGTCGAGCGAAGGAGTCATTTTTGAATCTCGCATGGATTCCAGCTTCCAAGTGAAATAGGAGCAGTACCAGCATCTGAGAAGTTAGAAGATATTTCCCATACCGACATAACTAGCCCATCTACCGACGGAGGCTAGAATGGCCAAAAAATTGAAACCAGTAAAAATTCTGCGACAAAACACTGCTATTAATTGATGACATTAGAAGCACGGAAGCAACTGCAAACAAACTAGCCACAAAACATCAACCCAGAGAAACCTCTAAGCTTGTCGAAACAACGGTCCTGTCTGGCAAGTTAGTTTTTTTTATGTTTATATAAAATTTTACTATAACTTACTGTAAAAGTTATAGAAATTTTTTTATAAAATAAAAAAAAAAATTTTTTCCTTTCCTTTCCTCTCTTCCTCTTCTCCCTTCCCCATTCCCTCTCTCAAAAAACCTGCTAGATGAAGCAGCAAAAGATTTTTTTTTTGGCTTTTTCTCTCTCCCCCTCTCCTCCCCGCCACCTCTCCTACTCCCTCCCCCGCCACCCCTTTTTTCCCTCTCCCCTTCCCTCGCCAGCCAACTCTCTGTCCCCCCTGCTAGATGAAGCAGTAACAAAAGTGTTTTTTTTTTTTTTGCTTTTTCTCTCACCCTCTCCTCCCCTCTTCTATCCTTCCCTTACCAGACAAAGTAGTAATAGAAAATTTTTTTTTTTTTTGCAATTTTCCCTCTCCTCCCTTCCCTCTCCACGGTGCAATTTGGTCTCGCGATTAGATTGGCTAGAGGGGAAAGCGGAGCAAAGGAGGAGAGGGAGAAGGAGAAAGAAAAAAAAAAGGGGAGGATCAAATCGGGCAAATGGAGAGGATGGCGGGGAAAGGAGAGGGGAGAGGGAGAAAGAGAAAAAAAAAAAAAGACATGCACCGGAATAGGTGATCAGCATCAAAACGGGCGGGGGAGATGGTGACTGGCGACGGAAGTAGTGATGGGTTGGTGTGGGGGAGAAAGAAGAATAAAAGGAGAAGGGAATTTTTTTTTTTTTTTTGTATTTTGGATATTTAGAAGTGTATAAGTCAAAAACTTTGCGATTTTTTTTATATTATTGTAGTTAAAGTTGATAAAAAATTGATAGAAGACAAATTTGGGTAAAAATCCACTTGCCAAACTGCCCCAACTTTTGTATTGCTCCAACGAACCCGAGTAACAGAACTGGTCAGGCATTTCTCAGCAGGCCCACTTTTAGAGATGAACTTTTAAGACCTATGTCCCTTCACCCCCCAAAAAAAAAAAACTTATTTATTTGATTTTAAGAATAGCCCAACAGCTAAAGAGGTCTTAGGTATTCGTACTGCAGTCTATACGGTCCTATGGCATTGGGTCCATTGGAAAGCCACGTAACTCAATGGGTATACAATCAGCAATGCTTTTAGCATCATCCTAGCACCCAACAGTACCTACGGCACCATTTGGATTGGAACAAAGGAAAGGAAAAGAAAGGAAAATGCACTAGTAGAAAAAGAAAGTGACTAATGATTTCAGAGACATGTTCTAATTTATAAGGAGAGTAGAGCAGAGGGAAATGATTTCCATCCATCTTGTTTGATTTAAATATAAAAGAAAATGAAAGGAAATACTAAATTTTGTTTAGGTTGAGCAAGGGGGAAAAAAATCTATCGCTCAATTAAAAATGAAAGGAAAAAAGCTTTTTAAACAAATTTAAATGATTTTATTAAATTTGATACCTTATCCCTCTGTTTTTGCCAACTTTTTGGACTGAAACCATACTAGAACAAAACAATTGTATCGTTTCCCTTCTTATTCTTTCCTTTCTTACCTCAAAATTGAATCCAAAAAAAAAAAAAAAAAACCTTCCAAATCCTATCCTTTCCTCTCCCTCCTATTCCCTCAAATCCAACTAGTACCTAAATGCAAATCATTGGAACATAGTTTTTTATGTTAATTTTTTAGAAAGAGAGAAACTAATTTAGAAAATTATCTAAATACAAAAGGAGAGTTAATTGTCAATGTATGCATTCACATAACAATAATGTGTTAAAGAATGTTCTTGTTAAGATGTTTCAAGTGTTAATATATTGGAAAAAGTGAAACTAAATTGAAAAAAGTAACTAAATATATGGACAATTAATTACGAGTGTGCATTTAAATAATAAATTATGTGTAGTTTGAGTGAATTAGTGAGCATTCCAGAGCACTTATTAAAAAATTCCAAAGCAAGTTATGTAGGCATTTCTTGCTTGATTTCAAAGCTACATATGTTTGGGTTATCATAGTAGCAAGCCTCGTTGCATCTTGTGGTGTTTGTCACGCTCCATCTGACGACATGAATCACATCTTCCTTTTTTGTCCAGTAGCCATTCAATCATGGGCACTCAGCCATTTATCTACAAAAGTTCATTTGGATGCCGCTCAGCAAGCCACAATCTGGCTCCCTAATCAAGAAAATCATCTATCAAGAAAGGAAATGGGGCAGGAACTGACAATCGTTCCTGAAGGTTCGCGGCCACGACGTGACCTCAAAATTTTGTGCGGCTCAAATTACAGTATGTAACTCGATTTTCACGTCATGTGTGGGATCCACAAAAAAGTGTTGTAAAATTACGTCGTGTGCAAAGTAAGTTACATCGTGTGCAATGGAAGTTACGCACTATGAAAAATAAATACAACCGGCACAAACGATTGCACCTGCAACTGTTTGTGCCTCTTGTCCATCAAGAAAAGACATGGAATTGGTGGCTATAATGTTGTGGAATCTTTAGAACAATAGCAATGGAGTTACCTTCGTATAGAGAGCCCCTTAGTTTGGTTTCTTTTTTTATAAACTATATGTACACCAATATCGTGAAGCTATTTCAAATCCAATGCATGGCTTAATAACTTCTATGCAACACCAAGCCACACAAACTCAGTGGAAAAAACCTCAAATGGATTTTGTCAAAGCAAATTTTGATGGGGCCATTTTTCCATCAGAAGGCTTCTCGGCTTATTAGGGCGGTGGTGCGTGATGGCGCAGGTGACTTCATAGCTGGATTGTCTAAGAAGATTCCTGGTATGTTAGACCCGGATGTGATCGAAACTTATGCGGCGAAGTTTGCAACTAAATTGCTGGTTGAATCAGGCTATGGTCACGTTGCTCTTGAGGGTGACAATCTAAAGATTACAAAAATGCTTAGCAATATGACTCTGATGATTCAGCATGTGGCGTATTGACTGACGATGCCTTGCAACTTCTGCAAATTTTCACCAAGTGGAAAGCCATATGGATACCACGTTATTTGAATGGTGCAGCCTATAGCTTTACTAGGAATGCTTGTATTGTCATGGATGACTATTTATGGAGACATTCACCTCCATCTTTTGTATTGTCCGCAATTCATTCAGGCGGACCTTATTCCATCTTAATAAAACTTTATGCTTTTCTATAAAATAAAAAAAAAATAGTAGTAAGCCTCGTTATGATTTTTGTTGGTTTTGATGACACAGGAGCTATTAGCGATACTCTTGGCATTGAATGATATGAAGTTTCATGTTAGTTCAAAATAATTTCTAAACATACATAATAATTGGTATAGAATCAATAGAAAAATTTCACGCAAACACACAAGGATCTCACTTGTTAATTCACATTCTAAGTGGGGTCAATTTGATACGTTAAATGAAATCAATTGAGACTCTTATGTGTCAACGTGGAGTTCTTTCATTAGTTAGGAAAAAACTTACTAAACATGGCTAGTAGTAATAGTTGCTCTAAATCTACATAAAATTTTTCATCAAGAGATGGCCAATTTATTTCATAGTTAAGCATTCGAGCTTTAATAGATGCCCTGTGATTACTCCAATATTCAATAACTACTGAATCGCAACAACGATTTGTGCATTACCTTGATTGACGTTATTGGAGATAAGATTTATCTACATCCCTCAAATTTTGAAATGTAGATATTTGTTGTTGTACAATTTGTTGTAACTTGACATAAGCCTTACAGTATGGATAATATAGTTGACTTGGCTTGCTTGTTCTAACCCCTACCACGGTTCGAGCAATCTAAATTCCACACCATTTCATTATCGTACTTTTTGCCCTTTCCCTTTTTAATTTTTCGTCTTTTTTTTCCTCATTGAGAGGTTGGTCTTAATAAATGTCTTTGCTCTTAAGTCTTTGACCGATGACCGTACTGCAAGGGACATACACAGTCGCCTCAAGGATATATTTCAAAATCTGCAAGGAAAAACAGGAAACCGAAGTAAATTCCTGTCTCCTTTCATAACCCATTGGGCACCCAACACGTATCGCCGCACCAAGGCTGCGGCCACATGCTATGATCTCAGTCCTCCATTTAGATCTTCAAAGCCTTCCCTGCCCTGGCTTTCCGCTTGCCATTCGAACTTCTCACCCCACAACTCCCGTACACGGTGAAAAACACACACTGCGCTTTATTGCCATATTCCTAGAAGGCATATAATTTTCGACAGAACAACCCATCATTTCATGCAGGAACTGCAACTTTTTTTTTTTTTTTTTTCAACAAACGAGGAACTGCAACTTTTTTCACTGCAGAAAAAAGTTCCGGATTTTTTTCTTTTGAATTTTGATGCCATCATCAATGTCTCAGAGCCGGGAGAAATCCGGTCAGGAAACCTTGAACCCGTTCAAACCGTTCATCGTTTCCAATCAGCGCAACGATTTCTTAACCACTTCCGTAAAAGGTGGCATTTTGGCTTTCCTCTTCGTCTCCGCTGCGTTGCTTGTTTACTCGGTCTTCACAAGTCAACCTCCCTGGTTTATCTGCCCCGAATGCCCGAACCCGACTGACAACATCTCCAGAACAGCCTGTAACACCGAGGAAGGCCCTATTTCCAGCCCGACCAACATAACCCACATCGTGTTCGGCATCGGCGGGTCGACCTCGACGTGGAACGATCGGAGCCACTATTCAGCGCTGTGGTGGCAGGATAGCGTCACACGCGGGTTCGTTTGGTTAGATAAGGAACCCGACGCGGACACACAGTGGCCCGAGAACTCCCCTCCGTATCGGGTCTCCTCCGACTGGACCCGGTTCAGGTACACAAGCTCGCAATCAGCAGTCAGGCTCTCCAGGATCGTGGTGGATTCTTTCCGGGTCGGGTTACCGGATGTGAGGTGGTTCGTGATGGGAGACGACGATACGGTGTTTTTCCCGGACAACTTAGTTACGGTGTTAGCCAAGTACGATCACCGTCAGATGTATTATGTTGGTGGGAATTCGGAGAGCGTAGAGCAAGACACCACTCATTCCTATGATATGGCTTTTGGTGGCGGAGGAATTGCAATAAGTTATCCGTTAGCGGCGGAGTTGGTTAGAGTAATGGACGGTTGTCTTGATAGGTACTACAATTTCTACGGCTCTGATGAGCGGGTGTGGGCATGTATTAAAGAGCTAGGTGTCTCCCTCACTAGAGAGCGTGGGTTCCACCAGGTACGCTGTGAAGTATTTTGATGATGCATCCATTATAGTGCTAACTTTAGAGGAATCAATGCGCAGCACCAATATCTATCGTATGGTAACAAGTTCTTGTGTTGTTTGAATTAGCGTTGCGTCGATGTCGGATTTTTTCTTGTTTTTGTGGCGTCTGAAATTTTGTGCACTTCAATTTAAGTGGAAAAAAAAAAAAAAAAAAAACCAGCTGAAGCATTTTAAAAAAAAAAAAAAAAAATAGCAGCTTAGTCCTAGGTCAATGACGTCGTATTCATTCACGACTTTAAGAAATGCTGACCGATTTGGAAGTCTTTTCTTCAGGTCAATGTAGTTTAGGTGAACTGCTTTGTGGGTGAACATCTTCCCATAAGTTTGCATTTGTACATTTGTCCTTCTTCCATAGTTGGATGGTGAACCGATGTTTTAAAAGTAGTGCCTGTAATCCCCATTTGGCAAATAAGTTTGTTTTGGGTGTTTGGGTGAAATTTTGCTGTAAAAGTTGTAGGAAAAATTTTTGAAACGTGTAAATTTTTGGATATTTTGAAATGTATAGTTTAAAAATTTTGAGAAGTTTTTTGAGTTTACTATGACTAAATGTTATTAAAAAACTTGTAGCAGACAAACATAAACAAAAATTTATTTACCAAACAGGCCCTAGTTTGCTATTGTAGAAAAATTTACTGTAGAAAAATTAACCTTATTTTATACTGTGTAGGGTCTGGTCTTGGTGCAACGTGGCCCGGTGATTAATTGCATGTAGGTGTGTCCTCATGTGCTGTCGATTTTTCAAATGTTGGTGGATTGTAGTAATTATGGAGTAAAACTTCTCTAGATAAAATTTTGATTGTAGCTTTTTCTTTTTCTACTATGAAATATCTAAAATCTAAATATGCAATAAAATTACAATAGCAAAAAAACTCATAATCCAAACAGTACAATATAAAATCAAGTGAAATAGTCAAATGAGAATAGCCCCTCGGTAGAGTTGAATGCAGAAAAATGCTTCAGTTGGGTTGGATAAAAGTTCAAAAGAATATGGATATGGGTCTCTCGATACATATTTTTTTTGTATAATTATACACTTAAAATTTAACACAACATTTTATCTGACAAAATTAAGACGGTACGTTTCATAAAAGTTTTTTTTTTTTTTTTTCGGTTCAGTACATATGTTATAGAATATAGACACGTGTTCTTGCATCCCCAGTAGTTTTTCAGCACACTAGCTTGGGCGGCTACTACTAAAATAAAGGACTTGTGAGCAGCCCAGTACTTAAAAGGAAGAACATATAGTTAATAAAGCTACCTAATAGCACTTTGGTCAAATTGAAGGATTATCTCTAGTATTACAATCCTGCTAGAGTCTGAGGTTTTCATTGAAGAAAGAAATCGGTTTATCTTGATTATTATTTGTTGACTAGGCACATTTTCTTTTAAATAGATTATGATGTGTGTTCTTACTTAGCGGAATTCACCACCATTTAATTTGACCGTACCTTGTGATTTGTGATTACCATTAAGATGTAGATATTGGGCCACGTATGCGCTTGTCCTTCAAGCCTTTTTCTCGTCTTCAAGATTCTACTTGGAAAACGATGTAAGCATAGGCCACTTCATGTGATTGCCAAGGTCTTTTATGTTCTTGTTGGTTGTTGCCATGGTATCCACTTCCCACTATGCTTAGGAAAAGATCTAGATTCGTCTTCCTCCTACTCCCTGAACAATCTTTTAATTCTAGAATATGCAATTAAAGATTACAATTCATGTCATTAAGATTTTCGTTCCCCCCCCCCCTCCTTTTTCAAAGATGTATGACAAAGGAGTCGATATAACGAGGTATATATCCTTGGTTATGTTTTGCTTATTTCAGAAGCTCAATAAGAGATGTAATAGAAATGTGAAATAGGAAGGGAACATGATGATCTGTATCTAAAAATGGCTCTTTGCCCTTAATTCCCACAAGCCAATCCGTCCATGCCTTCCCTTTTCTTCTCTTTGGTGGGGTTTTGGGGGGGAAGAAAAGAAAAATTATTGCCAAGGACAGCAACAAACTGTAGAGAAGGCCATTATATCGTTTTTCAATGTCTCCACCCAATTGATGGTTCTTGGTCTACCATTATGAAGTCAGGCGTACCTTTTAAGTTTTAACTACGCAAAGAAACAAAGAAAGAAAATTTATGTTCAAGTGTAACACTTCAGCCCCAGGCAACGAAAGTGCTGGACAAAATGTAATATGCTAGAACATGTGACAATTAGTCCAGTCATCTTATATATTAGACTACGACTTTTCAAATTGAATGCAGTCAACTCGCACTTGCCATTTCTATTTGAAGTTATGGTTCGAGATGCCAACCTGTAGATGATTTTTTTGGTCCTTAATTCTTGTTTGGTATTATTACTCTTAACATCATTTTGCCAAAAGAAAAAGAAAAAAAAATCAATCATGTTACTTTCATGTGAAAAAAAGTACAATCAAACTTCTGCTTATGCTTATGGCATTAAAACTTTCAGATTGATATTCGAGGTGACCTATTTGGTCTTCTGGCAGCACATCCTATGGTACCCCTTGTGTCGCTCCACCACCTTGACCATGTGAAACCATTGTTTCCAAATCTGACGCAGCATGAGTCGCTGGAAAACCTCATCCAAGCATACCATATGGACCCAGCCCAGATAATGCAGCAGTCATTTTGCTACCATGGGTGGTATAAATGGTCTGTGTCTATCTCATGGGGCTACGCTGCGCAGATATACCCTTCATTATTGATAGCTGGAGACTTGGAGAAACCATTGCAGACGTTCCGGACATGGCGGAGTTGGAGCAATGGACCCTTTATTTTCAATACACGTCCTGTGAATCCTGACCCTTGTGAACGCCCGGCTGTATATTACATAGAGGGGATAGGCGAAGATGGCAACGGTGGGACTCTCACTAGTTACAGGAGGTCCATTGCTGAGCCTGAGAATTGTAGGGGAGGACACCAGGGCCATGCAGTGGGTATTGAGAGAGTTCTCGTCTCAGCATTGAAAATGGACCAAAAAGAATGGAAGGTTCGTTCCATATTTTTCCCGTCGCTTAACCATTTTAATATGCATATTAGCCGCCACTAAGACTCTGAAGGTATGTCTTCGCACAAAGTAGGACACTGATAATTGATTGAACCAAAAAGCCAGAATCCCAGAAGTTGGATAAAGTCTTGAACCAGACTTTGCTAGGCGTGGCATTTCCTGTCTTGTTTCATAACTTAAAAAATGTTGAGCATCACAAATTAATTGAAAGTTCCGGCCGCGCTATTTTCCAAAATGCTTTGGTGATTATTCTATATCCAGCATTTTACTTGCATAAAGTGTCCTAATTGTTTTTACTTCTTGTGCAATTGCTTTTGAGAGGTTGGCTATACCTATACGCAAGCATTAGGCAATTGAAGTATGAGACGGCTGTCAATTTTAATTTGTAAATATTGAAATTTGGTAGTGTTATTCTTGCTTATGCCTCTTCTAAATTGCCTTTTAAACAGCTACGAGAGAGGTCATCTCTTGATCCATGTTATACGACCAAAAAAGTTGCTTCTTTTTGGTGATTATATGTTTTTTGGATGATATATCTCGTGGTCTGTGAATGCTTGTGCAGAGCCCCCGTAGGCGATGCTGTGAAATCAAAAGCTCCAAGGACGGCACTCTAAAGGTGTTGATTAGAAGATGTAATCAACAAGAGTCCATTACCCCCTGAGGTTTTGGTCATAGAATACCCTTTTCTTTGTTTTTTTCCCCTGTCGTATCGTAGCTTTCAATAGATGTTTATCTTGAAAGCAATTTATTGGTGCTGGGGATCGTGTAAAGTTGGCTCTCTAATAATTAAATAGCGTAGAAGATTGAAACTTTTTGTTACTTTGTGGTAACTATTCAACAGAGTAAAATGCAAGGTCTAGCCATCCTTTTGATTGGATGAAAAAAAAATTCTCTCATCACGGAAAATCCAACAATACGAAGATTATGGAAAGCGATGCTAATGAACCGATCAATTCTGTTCATAGAATGTACACGAGAATAAGTTGACTCTTGAGCTCCGACTGAAGGAGAAACGAAGGGAAAGATCAGAAGAGTTTTGAGCCTTCACTATACAAATCAAAAGTCTTAGAAAATTCATTCCTCTTTCAGGCGGTCGAATAGAGAATTTGCCACTCTTATGGATTCATAAAGTCCTTGCGAAAAAATCTTGCTGCAAAAATGTCAATGGTTGCTGGTAATTCATAAAGCCTTCACCCACGCCTCGCTCCTTGCACAATCTTTTTGGGATACGGTGCTAGTTGCAGAACAATGTGTCTCTTGTTGCATTACCGGTGGTTGGGTTCACTCTGATGGTAAAAAGTCTTCAGACGAAGTGAAAATACATGAAAAAAAATGTATCAGGACTCACAGTAACCACATTACCCGCCTGCAACCTTGCAAAGGTATTCTCGTTGATCATCCCGGAGAGGAACATCCGTAAAATCTGCAATTACAAAATGCTCTATATCAGCAACTTTTTTTTTTGTTTTAATTTATCCCTCTCTCAAGAAACATATTACTAGCATGCTTATGAGTCACAATTTGAATAATTTAGGCAGCATTTACCCCTCTTTTTGGGTAAGTGAGAGGATTTGAATTTAAAATCTCTTACTTTCAATTCTTTCCACCTTTCCACCCAACCCAACTCTCCCCGAATGCAGCATTCCTAGGTTCCATGGGGTTGAAATCATTTCCAAGACCCAGTAGCCGTCTCAATACCAAATGTGAAGGAATATCTAATCAGTATAATCAAGTCCATATCGTGATTATAAGTCGTTTCTCGTTGTTTTGTCACAAAGATCAAGAAACAAGTGAATAGAAGATCATCGCAGACAGAAAATAGGAAACATGGGCCAAGTGAGGGCACCAAGCGTTTTTCTATTCTCTGTACATGTCACAGTTAGTTACTTGTTTGCTCCTGTTTTGAATTCCCTGCAAAGTTATATCTAACTATCCGACACCTGAAATTTATAACAGTATGGTAAATGATGCATCATGGCAATTGTAAGTATAAAATTAAAAGTTAGGTCTTCTTACCTGCGCCAGTTATAATTGACCCTCTGAAAGATGTATTCCCGGTAGCAAGTGCGCCTTCCAAGTTTGCATTGCTCAAATTTGCCTGCAGAAAGTGACAGTCACACCGGAGATGGAAGTCAATTACAAGGTAAAAAAAACTTAAGAATCACAACTAGTACGTTACAGCTCCCAAGTGTAATTAGTTATGTAAGCTCCAAATCCAGTTCAACAGCTATAAAAGCATGCTCAAAGGCTATGTGGATGGAAAGACAGCCATAATTTCTTGAACAGAATCTATTACAATCAAACATGCACTGAAATCCAGAATGTTGACGATACCATCAAACAGCATCTGGACATCTGAAATAGTTAAAAGAACTTCCAACCAAACACAGCCATTCCCTTGTTGGTCTTAAATTCTTTTTATGAGCACCATCATATTTTGGCGAGTAAAGAGGTGGTATCTTTTGTACCCAACTCTTCTCCATGGACTAGAATAAATTAAGCTTCTAGTTTGACTGCATGTTAGCTTGCTACTCAATGTGGACTGGTCAGGTACTCATACATTCCCATCTTGATTTTTTTTTTTGGAAGCATAAGGGCATTGGCCACAGAAAACATCCAATTATTCAGAAGATGAACATCCTATATTCCCCCAAGAAAAAAGCACCTCAACTGAATATGCAGTGTAGCACCTTGCTCGTTACAAACATGGACTAATGGCAAATGATGAATAGACACAGTGAATTTTTTTATGGCAACAAAATCAACACAACTCCAAAAGCATGAAATCTATGTATGACATGAAGCAAAATTCATTACCTTGGTCACATTTGCTAAAGAGAAGTCAGCTCCTCTAAGATCAGCATCAGATAGATCAGCACCTGAATACATATAAAGCAGAAACCAAGATTTTGTTTTGAATAGACAAAAGCTTCACGATCAGAATGTCAGATGAAGTAATATAGCATGCTCTATCTAAACCAGGGCTTTAGATTTGTGTAGCTGCCAAAGTACATTAGTAAAGCAGTTTTGCATAATCATTTTGATTTTCGAGTTATTCCCTTCAGTGACCATCACTGAGCTCCATTTTTGGAACCTAAATCTCACACGTTAGGTGCCAGTTTAGAAATGAAAACTTAGAATGGCAATTGCTACACTAATTGGTTTGTCCACATCAAGAACAAAGTAAGTAGTTTGCCCTAGGTGCTTTTAGTTTACACTTTTCTTGTAAGTTACAATTGTAGTCTTTTGCTGTAGTGGAATCGGTGGCAGGCGGTTCATCATCAAGCATTTCAGTAATCGAATTTACTATCCCAGATACTCCCTATGTCTGCTACTTTAGATAAAAAATTCTGTGTTTCCATACTAGAAAAGCAAATGACATTTCAGTAGAGGATATACCTGTTAAATCAGCATCAAAGAAGCTAGCTCCTACTAATGCTGCGCCTTTGAATTTGGTTTGCCTAAGTATTGACTGTTCAACAGAATTCACATGACGCCACGCGACTTATCCAGGATTGAATACCCCAACCAAAAAAAAAAAGAAAAGAAAAAAGGTATGCAGCATACTTAATCTAAATGCATAGAGAAGTGGACGAGTTTCAATTCCACGTACAGTTTTAAAATCTTGCTTGACCAAACTCTTCCCACTAAAATCTTTCCCAGAGAGATCTTGTCCCCTGGTAACTTCTGCACCGTAAGGACCTCCACCCTTTTCTCCCCAGATTATGTAACCAAAAAAAAAAAAAAAAATCATTAATCATTCCAAAAAAAAAAACCCACAATTTAGAATCACAATAAACGCTAAAATAATTGCGGGCTAAATTGTATTTTTGGTTACCTTGAATGCTAAAGCAGGGTCGGATGCAAAGAAGAGGGAAGCAGAGAGAAGGGCGAGAAAGCTTGCCCTGGATATTGATTCTCCCAAGCAAAGCAGAGGATTCTGAGGAGCTTGAGACTGATGATTCACGGGACGCTGTAATGTGTGGAAATAAAATTGGCCAAGTTAATCAAATTGTAGTCTTGTGTACTTTTTGAGATGAATTCACCGGAAAATGTAGCGTACCTGTGGCCTAGTGGCAGTGCAATTGAAGGGAAGAGAAAGAGACGGGAAGCAAAAATGCTGCTGACTGGGAAGCGGATTGTCAAGTTTGGGCTTTGGAAGGAGTTTGGAAGACAAGCAGACGTTCACAACTGCCATTGCTTCTGATCCAGAAATGGACTCACATCACATGTGGATAATCCCTGCGCGCTTAATTTATTTTGGTATACTACTAAACTTTTCTTACTATTTACTTGGTCAATAAATATCGGAGTACTACCCTTTTTCTTCTTTTTTTTTTTTGCACCCATAACATTTTAATAGTTGTCCATAGTTACGTTAGTGGTTTTTTTTCCAGGCAAAAAACTTGTGCGCTATTGTTTGTTTCGTTTCATTTAAAAAAAAAAAATTGACATCAAAATGCGTAGTTTTGTTTGCACATTTACGCCATTAGAGCGAAGATTACATCAGGCGGGAAATCAAACCCACCAAACAACACGATGAACCAGTGAAAGCGGTTTACATTTGATTACCGCCGAGCATTTGCACTCATCTATACTTTACCCTTTTTTTCTTTTTTTGTCAATACAATAAATCTTTTTATTCTACTCCTACTTCTATTCTATATTAAAGAGGAGAGAATGGTTCCAAATAGGCCAAGGGAAAATCTAGATCAAGGGAATTGATCCACTGGATGAAACGAGTGCCTTTGCACTCATTAGTGAAACATCTAGAAAATCCTGGAAATGAATGCAAGTCAAGGGACACTAAGGCTCTTCTTGATCGTCAGCTACTCTAAAGGTAGTTAGTTATATTTTTCCTAATCAAGGAACCAACTTTTTGTGTGACATCTTATTAGTTTACTAATGCATGCTACTGTAGCATAAAAGGGTACTTTTTCTAAGCATAAATTTTAAGCCTCTAGAATTCCGTAATTAAAACCTAAGACCACTAGGAACTTCTATGATTCAATGCTACTTAAGCCATGTTTAGAGATACAGATGACTAGAGTTTGAAACTAAATCACTTTAAAAAAAAACTAAATTGCACGTATATACCCTATCTGCACTTATTAGGTGACATGTTCTTTGTACAAAACTTCTAGATACAAAAAAAGTTTGCTTAACACACTGAGATAGCAACTCGAAAGTTTGTATTCTTGCCAGATGCTAGATAATCATATGCACACTACCTTTGCATTGCCTTTCTAAAAATTAGCACCCACTCGAGAATAAGTTATAGTTATTAAATTCGACACGACTTGGCGGTCAAACCTATCAATCCAATGAATCGGTAATTGAATCGGATTGGATTTCTAATTAAATCGATTGAGCATAAATTGTTGACTAATCAATGATTCGGCAGTTCAACATCGAAACCCAGCGAATCGGTAATTGAATCGGATTGGATTTCTAATTAAATCGATTGAGCATAAATTGTTGACTAATCAATGATTCGACAGTTCAACATCGGAACCCAGCTGATTTTGTCCACAAACTAGGTTTTGTGAAAAAAATTTAATTAGCTTTGCTAGGATTCGAACTTTGAACTTTTGGTATGTGTCAGAATATACTAACCACCAAGTCACTTTGTCATACATTAATAGAGTAGTTTTTTTTTTATAATATCCAAATGTTTTGTCAATTCTATTTTTTTTAAATATATCTAAAACAATTTTACTTGAAATCTTTTAATAAAAACTAATGACTCCCCAAACTCTATAAATTATAAAATGGATTTCAAAAATAACATATTACATAATTCATTTTAAAGGCAAAATTTATTTTTAATAATTTTTTGCACTTTAAATTTGTAAAAAAACTAGATAATTACACTAAACACATAAAA